TTCAGTAATCCTGGGGCACAGTGTCTCAGTTGGGGTCCCTGCATTTGAGTACAAAAATATGACTGTGTAAAACCCAACTTTGTCTTCAAGTAAATTTGAGAGTAATTCTAGGGAGCAAATGATTATTGTTTTTCTTTTGAGAACTTACTTGCCCTTGGAAAAGCATTTACTTGAAAATGTATTCCAAAATTCTTCAGATAAAGTTACTTTAATGCTTGATCCTGTAGGATCACTTCTCATGTTTCAGCCAGTTATGTCAAGATCTCACCTTATTCTTGAGATCATTTAGTTAAATGAGAAGTTAATTCTGCAGAATGAAATTTAAACCCATAGATTAAACCAGGATGTCCGAAAGCTCAGAAAAGATCTTTATCAGCTTATGATTTAGAAAGTGCTTATTGCTAGGAGAATGAAATATATTTATCTTCAGCTTTTTTAACGGAAATCTACCATACAGTGGTTGGTGGGAGCACTTTGCCACCCTAGTATCTTCAAAGTACTAGTTGAACATAATGCAGTTCATACTTAGAAAGAACAGCATAACTCAAAGGGACTCTTGATACAGCTGTTGGTCATGAATCGAACCTCACTGTGTTCTACATCTGTATTGTTTTCCTCTCCTGGTTTGATGCAAGAGTGATGTATTGCCTGGATGCAAGTTCTAAAATTCTATTAAAGTCCAAATCTTAAAACAGAGCGACTTTTTTTTTTTTTTTCCTGAATCAATTATCGTAGTCTTTAAATGCGATTTTAAGAGCCTCTGTAAGATGAATGTCCTAAAATGAGGAGTGCTCGGTCTTCCTTGTTCACTTCAGTCTGGGACAGTTATTTACTGTTTGCCACTTACAGCTGATCAGAAACCTTTCAGATATATATCATGGTTCAATGTTACTGTAAACTTTTCAATAGCGTGAAAGTTTGTGTAGAAGACTCTTCTGAGTCCAGTTGTTACGTTTCCCTACTCTTGTTGTGTGGGGGAGAGGTTTACACACATACACTAATTCTCTGTTTTTGATTGCAGCCAGAAGAGCTGAGAGAAATCATAGAGAAGACGAGGGAGATGGAACAGAACAATGGCCACTACTTTGATACAGCAATTGTGAATTCTGATCTTGATAAGGCATATCAGGAGTTACTTCGATTAATAAACAAACTTGACACAGAACCCCAGTGGGTGCCCTCTACCTGGCTACGATGAGAGAGCAATTCCCAGGGACAAATGGACTTCAGTCTAGTAATCTTTTCAAGGAGATTGTGTGCGGGTCTCCCTGATTCTAGTATAAATGCGTGTAAGCTCTAGACCTCAGTGGCTGCATCCTTTGCCAGTGAAATGGCGTATTATTGAAAAATACGCTAATCAGCTTGTGAGCCAATATAACTGATCTAAAGATTGTCCAAGCTTTCTTTCTCTGTGGTCTAGAAATTTAGACCTTGTCAGTAGTAAACTCTAAAGCTTTAGGTAGATTTTTCTAGCAACTACTTTTATACATAAATCCACCTTTTTTACCTAGAATCACCCTTACAAAATCAAAGATTTTAAGTGTGTGTGTGTGTGTATATACAGTCCATGCTGTCACATAGTTATATATATGAATGTTATTTAACACTTAACTTAATGACTTTTGTGGGACATGATGGTAGTTCAGGAGCATAATTCTACAGATCATTGGGCAGAGAAATAATCTACACATGAAAAACATTAATATTAATGAGAAATATCTCCTGTTCAAAAAATACAAAGAATGAAGATGCTGGTCTGGTCTGGAGCTGCACTGTGAGGCTTAGTATTTTAATTCTCAAACATTCCACTTTCTAATAGCCCTGTAATTGGAAAATGTGTATAATGTAAATATTTCAATCCTTGCGTCTTTTTAGTCAGACTTTTAAAAATCAGATTTGACTGCACATTAATTTTAGGTCCAAAGATGAATATTATATTTATCTTTTAGATGTCATATTTTTATGGAATTTTCTTTAAAACTTATTGACTGATTGGAGCCACTGTTTTCCACAGATCTGTAGAGATATTTAGAAAGACAGAGGTTATATTTTTGTGAAAAATATAGTTATAAGACATGCTGCTTAAAAGTCAACTTAAGTTCTCATGTTTTATAACAGAATACTGACTGAAATAGACTGATATGCTAAACATCAGAAGACAGCAGGATTTTTTTATCTCTGCAAGTGGTTCGTCTTGTGGCTGTTGGTCTAATCAATAGCTAACTGGAATTAAAATAGCAGAATGTAGCTACTGTTTTATAAATGAGTATTGTAATTCACTAGCCAACCTATTGTCCTGCATTTGCTCAGTACTGCAGTGAAAGTATGTGTAAAACACTGGTAACTGACTGAGAAGTCACAAGAAAGGGGAATGTTTGTAATTGTTAAAACACAAAAAACTTGAAACAAGTGAACAAAAGGCAAAAGTCTGTATGTTAGTGTGTTCTGCAAAGCACATTGGAACATCTCTGCATCTTGAAATGATTCTGAGCTGTGAAGGTTTAACTACTAAGGCTACGCATCTACAGTAGGGCTGTTCTATCACTAAAGCTAACTGAATAGTAGTATCTTGGCTGTTTTGGTTTTGGGTAGCACAAAGAACCTTGACTGTGAATATCTCTTAATTTTAGCCTTAGTGTTTCTTTGTTCCTACAGGTAAAACACTGGAGTTATGTCAATGTGTAGTTCACTCGTCTAATGTTGAAGGATGAAAAGTAGCTATTTTTTCCATTCTGTCTTGCATAGACGCTTTCCCCAAATGTTAATGGAACAAATTCACACCCATAGTTAAATAGAGAGCTCAAAGTATACAACAGATATAAAGAAATTGTTAGACAGCTTTCCTAGTTACTGAACTAATATTCAGTACATTTTTGTATTGAGAAATTGAAGTATAGAGTGCATTCCTGTCTTGTTAGAAAGCAAAATTATTTGCTGGTTTAATTAGTATTTAGGGCTGAAGAGCAATTAAACAATTAGTGGGGATAAGTAATGACCCTTCAGAAAAAAAAAGGGTTGGAAACTTTAATATCTTTAGTTCAATTCATTGTTAGAAATAATAATGTTCTAGCTGTTGGCCTAAGGGCTGGGTATTCAAAATAATGGCTTTTTGCCTCACATTGCAGGCATGCTTTCTGTTTAATCCATAGTTTGAGAACTGCAATTTTCAGGTATACTGGATAGTCCATGTTTCGTAGATGACAAAATATTGTATAAATTCTACCCTTTTTTTAAGAAAGATGATTGTAGGTGTATTTGGTATTGACTCTTTCAAATAGTTGGGACAAGCAGGTGGAAAGCAGTAAAACAGAAGGGTAACCTAGCTCAGCCACGTAGGTACTGTCCAGAGTCTTGCAGTCACAGTCACCTCAAGATAGTTGCTGAACCCCCTTAGGTATTCAGTGTTCATAGGCAGTGTCAGTCACGGTAAATCATGCCATTAATGTATTTGACTAATGTTTGTCTCCCCAGTTTTTCAGAAATAGTGTACAGAAGTTTTTATACAAATAAGCTTTTGAATGTATACTTAAAGAATGTTGCTTGAAGTTCAGCTCTACTCCCTTAGTTCCCAAGGCACACACAGTACTTGCTGACATCCATGTAGAGAGGTGCTGTGATAGTTCATAACCAATGTTCACTTGAAGGGAAAGGCTTCAGCAGCACTGAGAAATGTACCTGGCTGTCCATCTGCTGCCAATTTGGACCTGGAACTACCTAGTGTGAGAAATTATTTTGCCTTCTTTAATGAAGAACGTGTGTTAATTCCCTTGAGAGTAAAAGAGAATATGCAAACTTCACTGGTGAAACTCTTCAACCTTATCACAGGCTTTGTAGTGAGCTGTATCAGACTGAAATGAGGGTATCTGCATTTTTACCAGTCCAGATTTAATTAAAAAACAAATGTTAGCTGAATTGCATAGAAGAATTTTTGAATGTAATTATATGACTTTTTAAAATATAAGATGGGGGGTTTAATGCCTTAAATAATTAAGGTAATTTTACTGAGACCTGTGGTTACCCCACATTGTACTTTTATACATGTATCTGCACTCTGTATTTTCAGACATCATGAACTGCACACCAATGTAAAAATGTAAAATATTTCTAGATTTAAAAATAAATCACTGTACAATTTTACTACTTGCAGTGGATCTTGGGAGTCTTCTTTCTGCCATTTTGCTGAATGTGTGAAGATGCTGTGATCCATCAGTGCCCTAGAGGATGTTCTCTGTTCCACCTGACACCATGTATCCAGTGGCAGAGGTAACGACATGTCCTCAGATCTGCAGTTTCTCTCTTTAAAGCTGCACCTGCATCTTACAACAGAGCATGGACTTACTCAGCTGTGCTGCCTTCAGCTTCAAAAGGGTAAAGAAATGGCCTTGTGCTTCATGTAATTATAAAATTACTTTTTAAAGGTGTTAATAGAAATTCATTTCCTTGCACTTACCCTACACCTGCAGTTAAGTGCTGGATCATGTTTAAAACAAGATGCTTACCTTGAACAGATGAGTAGTACTAGAGACAAGGTACTAGTACTACTGCTACGGCATGTGTTCAGTTTGCCAATTGCAAACCAATGTCTTTAGGAAAACAGCCCTTCAAACTGAGCAGCATTCAGTGACAGCGTGTTTATCAGCCACTCTCCTAGACTCCCCTAATCACCCCAGGACATAAGGAATCACAGGAAGGATGGAATACTGTACATTCAGCCTTGCCTTGCTTGCCAGCCTACTTGTTGCAGTGAAGATTTGGAGCAACACGCACCTGGATAGTTGAGAAGAGCTTCTGTGTTTGTGGCAGGAGTGAGCCACTTGTCCTTGGTTACTTATCTAAAGCAGTAAAGTTAACTGAGTGTAGGCACGGGCTGAAAAGAGGTGTGCCCAGTGCAGATTCTAAGTTGGGAGCAAGAGATCAAGAGACGGTTTTATTTTGAAATCAGCGTGACACTTTCCAAGCTTTTAAGACCATCTTCTAGAAGCTTGAGCCACACACCAAATATTTAACATTTAAAATTTTTACTTGTTTCTAGCACAGACAGTACACAAGTTGGCAGAACCTCTAATTAAAACCACAGATGTTTTAGGCCAATGGTAACAATCGTGCAACAGAAATAAATCACAGAAGACTGTGGATTTCATCAGCAGGTTAGAAAACTAGAGTTGTCTTTGCTGACATCTGACTTCAGGTATGCAACTTGGACATTAATAGTTCAGTAGTAAAGAACATTACATGCATCTTCCTCCCTAAATCACATTTTCTTCTGCTTGCAAGAGGAGCAATTAAAGAGGAATCGGATTAGGCAAATCCAGAGCCATCCTGCAAAAACCACTGCTATGGACAGTCAGTCCTACTAAGTGAAGAAACAGGCTGAACACACAGTATAAGGCTTTCCCGATAGTAAAGCACCTGACTCATCTCTCCTTTTCCTCCTATGCTGCAGTCAAGTTGCCAGATTTCTAATCTCCCAGGAGAAATCCACAATCCATTCAACTCAAGACTTATACACCACCTGAGAAGCCACATAAGTATCATTGAGGCAACATGTCCTGAATTATATTGCAATTGGACATTCAGTATTCTGGGTCCCCTGCTCCATATACAACTGTGCTGGGTTACTCAAAGAGAAGGTCTTCATCCTTCTCTTCTGCTAAGAGATTGGCTGGTTCATATTCCCCACCAGCAGCCCTCCGCAGCTCCCGTTCTTTCTCAGATTTTTCTTTCAATACTTTTTTCTTTTCCTGGATCTTCTTTAACCTGTGAAGAGAAATATGGTTTTATCTGGGAAAGTAAGATCATCTTTTCATAAAACAGGCTAGCAGCAAAGATGCCATACAACTTGGATACGATAAACCTGCCTGCAGAAGTTCCCAGGAAATTAAAATCCTGTAACAGTCACTAGCTGCTGCCATTGAAAAACTTAATCTCTGTAGATTAATGCATTTCTTCATCCAAACTATAAATTATAGTCTTGACCTTAAGCACTGCATTATACTACTCTGCTTGTCTTTAGTGAAGTTAATTTTCCTTTAATTCATTTCAGGTTTGACATTTTTTACTTCAAGTAGCCCAGAACACTGACCTCTATGACAGAGGTGTCCTTAAAGGAGAACATCTCAGTGTACTGTATCACATCATTCCGTCTGGAGGAATGGTAACAACAGCTATGTGCAACCTAGTGGTAGGGATTCATTGGTAACTTTGAGGTAAGTAATTGCAGATCTCCAGTTGCCCAGCTCTGGAAGCTCAATGTGCAGTAAGAACCAGGTCATGCTTAACAGTGTTCACTGCCAGATTTGGTGAAGAGTTCTGCTAAGTCCCTTCTGGGGAATGGTCTATTTGAGAAAAGGAGACCAGTCTAGTCTTTAGATATTTACCTGTAGAATTCCTCTCGTTCTCGTTCATCCAGTTCTGTGATGATATAAGAAAGAGTACGCTCAATCTTGGGAATAATCACTAAAAAAATATAAATAAGGAAGTTGTTGGACTGCTGTTGCATTAGCCAGGAAGTTAATCTAATGCAGTGCACAGATGGTTATTTAAAGTCAATCTACTAGTTCTTTTGGATAGGGAAAACATAGGTGTCTTTCATGGGAGATCATACTATTTCATTATGGACAAGTATACAAAATTGTTTCCTTCAGTAAGTCAGTCCAGGGCTAAACTAGGACTCCGAACATCACATAATCTCCCATAGCATGGGCTTTCGAAAGATGCAATGGAATCAGTGAGCACTGATCCCCAATTGTTTCTATGGTCTTTTTTTCCCCACATAAGTGGTTAAAAGAAAATAGTGCAAGAGGTGGGCAAGATTTGAATTCAAACTATGTTCTTCCATCATATTCTTTCAGAAACTTCTGTTCAATATAGCACTTTTACTCACAGAACTATGATCTCTGTTTGAAAAAAGCCATCATGAAAACAAATACTCAAATATAACACCATCCCAAGGCAAGAGGTAAGACATTGAACAAAGCTTTACCACCAAACTGGGCAAGCTCTGTGTCTGAATCACTTTTTGAAAGGAGAAAGCTGTTATCAGCACTACCAAAGTTATTTGGAAGGCTGCAGAGGAAACCTTTTCTACAGTCAAATTTGCAGAGTGGTAAGCTGCAGTTAAGGCCTGCACATTCTAAGAAAACCAGTAGTGAAAAGGACGGTTTAGAAGCATGTACTGAAATAAGTTATTACATACATGCAAAGGTAATTAAATCCCAGCTCTCAACAAGTCAGAACTTGAAATAATCGAAGCACCCTGGCTGCTGCAGCAAAAGGAATCACAGAAATATTGTGCATAGGTAGTACTTAAGAAATTGTAAGAAACAAATTTACAAACAAGAATATGAAAGGTAAGGAATTCAGATGAAAGAAAAATACCAGAGTATTGACATTAGGGCTGTTCTGTTTCCTGTAACGCAAACCAGGATTTCTCTCTGGATGCCTACTCTGTGATCCCATCCAAAACCAACAAAAAAAAAGACTGCACCTTTCAACTGGACACCACCATTAGAGTTTTAAAAGCTATTATGCTAGTTATTAGAACATCTGTCTTTTGTTTCTAGTCAACAGCCTTGACCAAATAATTCCAAGTCACTATCAGGGACTCCAGAATGTGCCTGTGAAATCTTTGTTCTACAGATTCTTGCTTATTTTCTTATGTTTGCATATTGATTTCTCTCTCTGTGCTCTAGTCCATTCCACCAGGCTTTTCATTTTTGTTCTTACTTGCAATATGGTTCATTGTAATGCTTTCTGAAGGGTTCTTGAACTGGTTAGAAATCCTACTAACAACAAAGCAGTCAAAAGAAGAGTGGCTTCCATGACCCTGTTCCTCATCTTGCATGGAGACAGAAAAATATTATGCATCCCAAATGGAAAAATACTCACCATGTTCAATTGCATTCACACGTCTGTTTGTTAATTTAATGGCTTCATCCAAAGTAACAAAGGATGTCTGATGGAATGGGATTAAATAATTAATACATAACAAGACAAATTTAGCATTTCCATCAATTCTATACAAAAAAACAAATAGCAGTTGAAAGCCAAAGGCAAGCTATAATGTAGCATTACAGACTACAGTCTTGATAGAAGGAGAATTTTTTCTACTAATGTCAGTAGCACACTGAACACTGCACATTATCAGTTACAAATACTAACGCCCCCCAAAAAAGTTTCTTCTTAGCATGAAGGAATAACGACTTCTTTGAAGCAGTAATGTAAGTCTGTTTTATGGCTGAAAAAGGTTTCAGCTTTGTATAGTACTGGGACTAAAGGAGTACAGTGCAGCTCAAAGTATTAAGCTCCAGTCACTGAGACTATGTTACTTTCTTTTCAGAACAGTGAGAAACCAATGATCCCCTTCTTTGTCTCCTCCCACGAACCTGTAAGGAGGCCAGTTCCACAAGCAGCTCCACAGCTTTGGCATAGTTCCTCTTCAGCTTAGCCAGCTGTTCTCCACCTCTGGCCAAGCCAGTCAGCTCATAGCCTGAAAAAAAAATTAAATCATATTTGTTGCTATTGCTACTATGGTGTTTTCTTACTAGATAAAAATTAATACTTTACAAACTACACTGATACAGACAGCTCAGCAAGTGACAAGCTAAAGCCTTTGCCCATTAACAAATTGCTATAGCGATTTAGGTTACTACAGATCATTGTTGTGCATTTCCATAGTAAGACCTACCAGTCTCAAAACCTGGTAATTTAAGATAAGCCTTCTCCTCTGAAAAACTCACTGATTTAGGAAATTAAAGTCTACTATAGTCCCTAACAATCCCTCCATGTCATAGGAACAGGGCAAAGCATCACAGAAGTACACCTATGTCCATGATGTAAACTGACTTATCAGCAAGACATGACAAGTATTTTTGTATTAGCATAGAATAACTGTAAGTATGGGTAAGACCAAAAGTACTTGGTTTGTACTTACTGTCCCCTCCTTCCTGGTAATGCTCAAAAACTGGCAAGGTTACACCTGACAAAGGTAAACAAGAATGCACGTAAGAGACATAAAGGGTTGTAGATTTATTAAGTACAACTCACTTTTACCCTGTTTGCTTCTAACAAATTATATAAGCTCAGAAGTTTTGTTTTCAAAATCTTTCTATATAGCTTGGAATGCTTAAGTCATGCTGATCCTGACATGTCAATATGGAACTTCAGAACTGTATTGAGATCACAGATACACACAGAAAAATTCAAGGAAATATTCCAGTTTATTCAATGTTTGGTTTTATTATGTTTCTGTTTAATAATGTATTCCCTGTGCTTAAGAAATATTTTAAGCATTCAATCCTGATTTATCTTTCTTGTTTTCTTCATAGACAATTACTGATATTTAATTTCCTGAAACTTATTTAATTTTTGATCCTTAAGTTCCTAATCTATTTTTCAGTAAAGCTCTATGGAAGTTATGTTTTGTCCAAAGATCTAGAAACTGGACTGCAAGTTATGCACTCTCATTTAATTTTATGAGGTAAATAACTAAATATAAAAATTATCTGCTGTATCTGAAAAAAAACCCCAGCAAATTACAAGTGTTGCTACTGTTAGATAAATAGGAGGTGCAGACAGTATTTGGATACATTCCTGCGTATTTCAGAGTTTCCTCCCAAGTATTTCCCTTAAGAGCTGAAATAGTGTGTGGAAGAATCACCTGCTACATTGTCTTTTTTAGCTCTGACCTTGACTTGAGCTTTGTTGACATTTTGGATCACAGTGGTACTGTAAGAAAGAAAACACACATCTTAATCAGGGAAGCTGAAGTGGTTCATTAAGTCATCATTATATACAAGATAAAGTAGTTTTCAAATAGCTGTAAAGATTTGGAAATCATCTTCAGCTCAGTTCTCTATGCAATTAGTTGCACAGACTTCAAAGCCGACACAGCCGCTTTGAAAGAAATAGGTTTACAGCAATCTTCGGAAATGTAAAAGACGCAGAGGCTGTGAAATGTAACTTTAGAAATGTCTTACACCAAGATACAAAGCATATCTAAAAACCAGACTGTTCTCTGTCAGATTACTTTAAAATATTTTAATAACACTGAGTCTCATCAATCTGTGGGACTTTTTCCCTAATGGAAGTGAAAGAATTTCAAGGCTTTAATGCAGACTAAGGCCACAACATTTTCTTCATTTCAGTTTGTATGTATTTGTTCTTTCAGAAAAGTTAGGAGTTTGTTTACCCACTAACTATCATATTAACAAACTTAAGCTTATACAACAATTCATCTGGAAGAACTCTAAAGTGTCTTAAGTTTCTTCCAAGAACTTGTCACTACAGCAAACTCTTCTGTTGAAGTACAGTTTGCTTACAGGGTGGAATCTGACTATTGTTTATAGCTAAACACTGTGATGAGTTGGGACAGGACACAGCACCCTATCCAAATGAAGGAGCAAAAAGACTTTTCTCCAGCAGCACACAGATGATTACTGTGTCTGATCACTTACTTCTTCCCCATTAATTGGTAGTACCAGCAGCTGAATCATCAGCACAAAATCTACGCACACTTGAATGAATTACACAACCACCGTAGTTAGAACTGTAATTCATTAAAATACAATTTTAAAATATCCTACAGGAGGAAAAATATTTGTTTCCCCTCTCACATACAGTCCTCTCTAGCCTTGGTGAGACAAGAGGTCAATGAGATAGGAGGTAGAACAATTACTAGTAAAATTTCTGCATGACTTACTGGGAGAAAACAACACCCTCAAATTCACAGGAAAGATCAAAATAATAAATAGTCCAATACTCTGCTCTAATTCTTGTTTCCCTGCATTTTAGATTCCAAGCTGCAAAAAGCAATGAGGATTTATATGTAAAGTAAATTCTGTTTATCTTTCCATTGCGTTTAGCTTGCAATGGAGTACACGTTTTCATCATACAAATTATCTCTCACCGCAGTGATGTCTCCCACCTTTGCCCAATGGAATTCAGTTCCTCTGGTACTACCTTGTCCACTGTCTTTTTTTTTTTTTTAAAGTGCATTTAAGAATTTTACTTTTTTTCCAAAAAGAGAAATCAACAATTTGTTGGTTGCTCTTTCCCATGGGTAGGACATCCATGAGATCAGCAATCCTCACCTGAAATCTCCTGCTGTAAACTTTGCCTCAGCAAGTGAAAAGGCAGCTTCTCTCATTACCTCACCCATCAGCATCTTAGTCTGTTTAAAAAAAAAAAAGTTTACTCTCAACTGCAAATCATAATTCCCAGGTGACTGGCAAAAAAATAAATATTTCAGCTGTTTCACTGACCCAGTGTAGAACTCAGAAAAACAGCAAAAGACTTGTCTGTGTTAATAATCATAAAATTTTACTACATGGCGGTTAAATCGCAACAATAAAATGGCTTTTAGGAAAACACTGTTACTTCATACTGTACTAAATATTATGACCCAGCTGAAGTTGTTTTTCAACACAGGGATGTATGTGGCTTTGTGAGCTGCATTCTCCTCCTACTCCATTTTTTTCCCAATTTTTACACATTTGAAGCCCTTGTAGCTAAAAAACATGATACTGAGAAGCAAGAGCCTTTTTGTGTATTAGACAGTCTATAGGAAACAACATACAGAGTGACGAGAGCTTGTCCAAAGCATGGCAAGAAAGCACTGCTGCTAGCCATGGATGTCATAGCAGTTGCAGCCAAAACAGTATAACTAAAACCCCTCTAGTATGGTTGAACAAAGCAAGCTATATTAGGCTCTGCTGAGTATCTTAGATTTGTCATTCATGTTGCAAAGGAAAAAACAGGACTCAGTGTTTCTTCATAAAGGAACAAGTTCCATTTGGACAGAAGTTCTGCTTTCTAGCGTACCTAGTTGTGCAGGAAACATTAAAGATCTGTAGTATTCTTTTAAGACAGATAAAGCAACAAAAATGGGGCTACAGAACGTGTTAAATCCACTCCTTCGGTATTTGGCAGCATCAGAGCAAATTCCCTGTAAGGCAGAAGAGATGATGGGGAACTTGGGACACAAAAGAAAGCAGAGCCCAGGACTGGTTGGAAAGAGGTGAAGAACATTAACTCTTACAAAATTTCTGTATCATTGCAGCCAAGAAAACATAATTCTGCTCATCCATCCTCAGTAGCCTCATGTATAAAAAACAGGTTATCTACAAAGTTGTCCTACATTCCAGCCTACCTAATGAAGTTAGCAGAATGGGAAAGCACAACTGACAGACAGACATTTCAAAGTGAGCCAGAGAAAAATTCCAATTTACCTACCTCAATAATTTTCTTAAGGATCTGCCTGAATCGAAGTGTCAAAGCATCAGATTTCTTCTTCAAGAGGTTACGACCTGTTTGGGCTCCTTTCAAACGAGCCTTCATGATGGTCTGAGCCCTGTTAAACAGAGGAATAAATAGAAATGTCCTGCATTATCTGAAGGGATTAAGAAAAAGACTTAACAGTTTTCTGACATGGACATGACTGAAATTATGAAACAACCAAGAAACATCAATGCGGTAAAACAGGATGGCCACTTTGGGATAGAATTTTACATTCCCATCTAAAATCAAAGGAATTTATTATATTTATCTCCATCATCAGTGAGAATTAAAGGTTATTATCTGTGAAGTCAAAAATCATGGAAAACTGACAAGTCATTTTTTAGTGCTTCTATAATAGGAAATGTTTCCTTTTTTTTTCATTACTTACAAGTACCAGAAATGCACCAGAAACCAAACTATCCCAAAAGCCCACTCTCAGTGTGACACCAGTATTGCTTTTAAGCTCTTACTACTTTCTCATCTTCTCAGACAACACAGCAAATTCTTCATGTGATCGTAACTATTGATGCTGTGTTCTGATTTTACAAAGCAACAAGATACAGCAGTGCTACATTCCTGGTTTAACAAAAGGCAAAAAGTACAATGATTCTGTATCTTCATATGCTACACAGGAGATTTACAAGCTATTTAAGACAATTTGGAGTAGCATCGGATTAAATGGGACATTAGTAAGGTAGCTGTAGCATTTTATGTCCTTCCAGTAGCTCACTTACAGGTTGCTCCAACAGAATTAGGAACTGAAGAAGGATCCAAACCTTGCTTCCCTCTGCTGTGGAGTATATTTTAATGTGAAGAATCTTTTTTATTTAACTAGAATATCAGGAGCTATACTACAAAAACCACAAGCTGTGCTAACTTAAGCTACCACTTTGTACATGTCGTCACTACACACAAAGGACAATTCTCAAGTCAACTCTTATGTGAAGAGAAACCTTAAACACTTCCTCTCTGACCTTGGAAAAGGCAAGTATAATAAAGACTCTGCCTACGCAGTGGAATCCATTACTTTCCACATCTACTGGCACGTGATGAGAATAGCTCCATTAATGTCTATCAAATACTTATAAATGAAAAGAACAAATGCCTTCTGAATGTTCATGATAAAAAAAAAAAGTTAATAAGTAAAAGGGCAACAACAACAAGCAGGGCTCTGTCACCACCTTGAACTAGTTCACTCTGTTCAACGCCTGCCAGAGACTGGTTGAATTTCTAGTTCAAGCAAGATTTCATAGGCTCTGAGAGTGCATTAAACAAAGTCTTGTTTACTGTCAAGGAGACTGAGCAGCTTCTGTAATTCATCATATCCTGCACAGAAGAGGCTCATACCAGCAAGCCACTTCATACAGATTAAAAAAAAAAAAAAAAAAACAAAACCAACCCAAACCTTGTGAAATTCTGTTCTGTCACTTAATAACAAAATATTGTTGAAGAGGCAGGCCATCTTTATTTTATCATCCTAACTTACATTCCTACCGAAACATCACCCACATTATTGGTCTATTACCTCATTTGAAACAGGGCTTGTAAATATCAAGTCTTTGTACATCACCACCTTCTTGCCACAATGACGGATCAGCCCACAAAACCAGATACCTTTTAAAAAGTGATTTAAGTGCCTCCTCCTTGGACATGTAAACTGAATGAAAAGAGCAAGAGTGAGACCAGATGACTCAGTATATCCAATAATTTATTTCTGAACTAAGTTTCAAAACAGAACCTCTACCATGTAATGTATTCATCTTTCCATATAAGCTTTTATTTCGTATGTCCTGAGCTCATACATGGGGAATAGATATTATTTTATATTCAAGTTTTTCTGTCCTCCAAGGCACCTTTTTATAAAGGATACATCCAGACATCAACCCAATTTTGTGCAAGAAGACTTGAGACAGCCTTTCACCTTAAGGCAAAGTCTTTCTGTCCTGGAGGGTTCTGAAGAAAAACTGAACAGCATTATTAAAACAGCAATTTTATTAGCTGATCAGTTTCAATTGTTTGTGCTCATTTCAGTGCTGACAGCTTTCTAAGCTTTGTCAGGAGGCATCTGACTTCATGACAAACAGTTTGCTGTCAGGATCTGGAAAATTACTTGACTGCCCACTGCACTTTACACCTTCTACTTCCTTGTTCTTTTTTAACACTTCATGGCCAACCTCTTGCACAGCAGCATCATCTACTAAAAAGTGAAGGGAAGCTATGGTTCGATTTGTGCATCTTATACATATATTTTACAAATTGCTTTTTTAAAAATACAGTTTGTGTAACTGCGTGGTTTTACACAGGGCCCCCCCACTGGAGGCTGCTTGCGCCTTGGCACTGGACCCTGCAATGGCCCTCTGATGGCTGGCGGAGCGAGTTCTGAGCCTGGAAAGAGAAACTGAAGGAGAAGATCCGACTGCAGCCTTCAGCTGCTCGACAGCGTTTGACCCAAACCCCGAGGGGGACCCTCCTTGCCGGCAGCAGCACGCACACCCCCGCCGCGGGA